TAAACCTAAAAATATTTATTATTTGTTTCAAATGTTTTGTTTATATGTTTAAAATTAAACAAAAAAATCCTAAAAAACTTTTATTGCAGTCGTAATTTTTATATCTCTATAATGATTAGATAATGTTTTATATATTTTATGGACTTTTTATATTTTACTTAGTAATAATAAAAACTTAATTTAATTTAGTTTTTGTTTAATACAGAATATAATGTATATAGTTTTTCTAATATCTTCAACCCAATTTGTAAAAACTGCTGATTTCAGTATTTTATGAAAATTAATAGAAAACAAATGCAATCTAATTTATATTTATATAAAAACTACAAATTTTCTTTGGAGATATGAATTTTTCCGTCAAAAATGCAACGTCATCAATATCCTTGTTATTTACATTACATACATTGCATATACTTTCCAGCGGCTTGTACTTAATCTGGTTATGTTATATACTTTCAGAGCTAAGAAAAAGTCAATAATAGCCAGCAGCACGCTATTATTGCCAGATATTTCGGCACACTTGATAAAGATCTAAAAACTAAATAAAAATGATTAAATTTGACTGATTTCTTTAAATTAAAGCTTAAAATATAGCTAATTATAAAGGCTTTCAAAATGCAACAACATTAAATATTGAAAACATGATATAAAATATGACTGAACTCTGATATCACCAAAAATAATTAAAAATATATTTATTTTTCAGAGGAAGGGCAAATCTGTTCATATTACTAGTCCAAAGCTATTTTATCGTTTTTTCGTTAAGTCCGGATTATAGACAGAACACTATCATTTGAAGCAATTTAGTTCACCGAGACGATTTTGGTTTGTATAAGACAGGAAAAAATTATGTACTTTGCATCCTCACTATGAAAAATACACCTTTATATAACTCCTAAAAAACCGGGTGACATCAAAAGCTATGATGATTACGAACGGTTCATTAAAATGCTGATATATCGATTTTTTTTTAATCACATTTGAGGTGAAAAGTGTGTTTGCGACAAGAGTGTTACGGGCGAATGCAACTCTAACGTCACACTCCAAACATTTGGATCAGATGCCATTACTCGTGGCTCAGTAATGGCCCATGGCCCTTTTATCGACCACCTGACATATTTAGACTGAACCTTACTGTATGGAATCTGACGTGTTTAGAAAAATTGTAATTTTCGATGTTTTCAATCATTTTTAATAGATTTCACGTAATTAAATTTACCTGCTAGTAGTGGTTCAATGCCCGAAGGGAAAGTGGAAAATTTCTTTCAAAGAGGTCAAATGTATTGATGTAATGACTACAATAGAGGCTTTTTTCGTTTTAGGAACATTTAAAAAAGTATTTCAGTATTGAGAATTTTGCTCACTCACACGTAAGATGTATGAGAGCTAAAAAAATGCTCGTAAATTATGAAACCTGAATATTGATTATATATCTGTACAGCGATATGATATATACAAAATATGTAATGTCATTTTCCTACCTGAAACGAGTAAGGAAAAATACCAATGTAATGACAAAGCACGAAGTCATATTGTCATAATATGTATAATAACATCAGCAGAAAATGTGATTCTCCCAAATAACACATTTTTTTAAGGAACCCTGATAAAGAGTTTTTTGTAACAATGAATATTTCCTTCCCGAGTTAATTTCTGGAGTAGAATGTCTCTTTAGTTCCAGAGGAACAGTGTTCCCTCTAGAACACATACACATACAATGCAATACACTTACAATTATAGCCAAAAGTAAAGCAGTATGCGTTATGCAATATGCGTGGAATGATTTAGAGATATGGTAGCTAATACCGCTCAAGAAAGAGAAAAATTTAGAGATGAAATGACAGAGAAAAATACTGAAGAATGTTGAGCAATGAAAAGGAAAACAAATAATACAATTATAAATTAATACACTAAAAGAAGTCAAACGAAGTTAAGACACAGAGGAACCATGAAGATTTGAGGAGATAATATTTATTTGAGAGTACAACGAAAATGTGGTAGATGAGGAGGAAGTAGAAATAAACTCCTCAAGTTGTACGAGGAAGTAGTAGAAGCCACGAGCTATGTGAGGAGGTATGAAAAGCAAAAATTTATCAGCAGGACGTGGAAACAGTGAAAGCCAATTCCATGGGCAAGAAAATAAGGAACTATCTGCCAACTCATAGAGCTATGGTAATAGGAGAAAGAAGCTATTTCCATTGGATAGACCAGTATGCAATAGAAGCCAGCTCCCTGAGCAAGACGAGTTTCGTGGCCATTCTTATTAGTGATAACAATGTCCCAGCAACCGCTGTGCATTAACTAACAACATATGTGAAGAATACACTTATATATCATCAATAATAAAGTGTATTAGAATGTGCAGCCATAGTACATGGAGGATGCTATTACATATATATATATATATATATGATAAACTATTTATACATTCAATATGCAAACACCCAATCTCGGAAGACCGCTCGCTCTCAGTTATTATTTCTAGATCTTTACTTACATTATATTAACTCTTCATGTTTTTTTCTTTAAATAGCATTTTCTGAAGCCCTGTTATTGCTCCGGCCAGACATAGTCTGATAAATAGCGAAGAGGTGGATAATTTTGTGCTAATTGAATTCCAATTGAATTTATGCTTTCATTCGTTTGAATGTTTTACCCAGGAAAGGTAGTCCTAGAATAGGCTCCCTCTCCATTCACTAGGTCAGTCCTAGCATATGCTCCTTAATTATTAACATGGTCAATCCCAGAATATGCTTCCTCACCATTCACCAGGTCAATACTAAAGTGTGCCCATCACTATTCACCAGGTCAGTCCTGGAATATTCTCCCTATCAGGTCACTCTTAAAATATATAATCTGTCACCTATTACCAAGTCAGTCCATTATTATACCCTCTACTATGTACCAGGTCGGTCCTAGAATATGCTCCTTTGCTATTCACCAGATTAGTCTTCGAAATGCTCCTATAATATTCCTTAGGTTGTTCATCAGGAACGACTGAGAGAAATAGACATAACGACAAGAGATGAACATATAACTGGAGAAGTGGATAAAACCAAGAAGATGGAACCAGGCGATAACTCAACATGAATACTGAAAGAGCAGCTTAGGTCCTGTACCATTTATTTGCGATACTCTTCAGCCCATTGCGTTGAACAAACCAGCTTCTAGAGATATGTAATAAAGCAAATATAGTCGTTATCCACTAGCATAAAGGTAGACAGATGTCTGTAAGCTACGGACCAATACCGCTAACGAGCACTTCCTGTACGTTAGCGGTATTGGTCGGGATCAAGAAACCAGTAAAGGAAGGCCTTGCCAAACCATTGTATTACAATTTCAGGGTGTACTGGCCATAAAAAAAACTTTGTTCTTAGATGATCAGAAATAATTTAACATAATAACACAGTAGAGGCTCCATAACAAACTTGAAAACAAGACTGGCATGAATGGAAAAGTACCGGGAAGGGTGAGAGTAGAGAAGTCTGAATTGCTAAACGTTTAAAGATGGGTGCCTAAGGAATAAGTATTGGGTCCCATTCTCTGCCTGATTTATAGAATGCGTTTCCATGAGCAATTAAATTTCTATTATATATGTTTTCCCTGATAACATAGACTATACAATAATGAATGTTTCAATAGATCAGAAGTAATTTGAATCCAATGGTTAGCAGAGCTAAAATCCTTAACAGTGATTAGAGGACAATTTAGGTTACAATAAAACTAGAGAGCAGCGAACAGAAATTTAATTACTAATTGAAGAAATATTGAAATTTAAAAGGAACTGGATTCAATTAATGATAATCAACCGAACAGGAGGCCATCAGTACACAATATTGTCAAATTATTAATGTATTCATTAAAGTCACTCTCTATTGATAACTTATCAGGTAAGATAACTGATACAATCAATGCCATAACTAAAGGACAATTACAGGGCGTGTGTGAGGAACGTCAATATCATACAATGATATTGTATGATATTGAGCTCAAACTCACCACAATGGAGGAAAGGAGACTCAGGAGAATTTACGATGTCAACAAAAGGCATTATTCATAATGAGAAGTGACACTACCAGACTGCACGGGTGGAAGATGAAGTCGTAGATGAAGCGAAGAAACGCTAGGATTTTTTTCTTCAATGCAAAAGTTACAATAGAACCGGCAAAAATAGGAGATAGGTGAAGAATTACCAATAAGCAACTTCAATGGGAAATATATCACACAGAAAAAAAAGTTATCAGTCATAAGCAGCAAAATATGCAGGTGAGGATATCAACGAGTGATCATATTCACAAGGTTCAAAGTCCGAATATTATTCGTGAATAGGAAATCATTGTTTAAACAAGTAACCAGTCCTCATTATTATTACAACAGTTTTGATCCTATTAACCATTAGGTCGAAATTCCGTAAATTTTACTCAAAGTTAGAACACTGCGGTATTGACATTCTATCGAACTTGTAAGCATTGACCTCTGTTAGTAGTTCGATAGGTCCGTGTACTTCTGCTTAGGAAAAATGCATTAAAATTTGGCACTTCAGATTGTGATAACAGGCTGGCAGGTCACTCTGTCCTCTCAAATAGCACATGGTAATATGAAACAAAAATCCCAGAGAAAATTCGCCGTGCTGTCAATCATAATGGTTCACAACCAACCACTTTTTTATGCAAGTTAGTTAGGTTAGGTTCGCGCGTTTTAATATAGTTGGAAATTACAGTTAATACAGTTTTTAATGGTCCGTGCAAGGCAGGTGTGATAAGCTTTCCCGTAATCACTTCAAAAAATCAATTTGCTTTAATAAACACAGATTTTTCTCTGTATGATTTTCTTGAAATAAATCATTCTCGTTTTTCATTATAAATATTATCTAAATAACTAAATGAAATTTAAATTTTTAAAATATTATATGTATCATGGGGCGGCATCTTCCTGGCGCGGTGGTAGATTGGGGGACGAGGTTGACGTGTGTATATATGGGAAAGCTGACTGCTTCAGCCACAGATGCCGATCAGCAGCGTTCGAGTTAACATGGTTTCTGTGTTGTGGTGGTGCCTGGCTGTGGCCAGCTTTCTGGCTGTGGACACCTGTGCTCAGGTACGCCCCTCCTTTCTCCCACCCTGATAGTGTGTTTGTATTTAATTTCTCAGTCTTACACAAGTTCTGAGATAATTTGGTTTTATGTTGTTAACAGTACTCATTTTGTCCTATTCAAAATTTCATCATATTACGTTATTTTATTGTTTTTTTACTTAATTATTATTGGAAGTTAATGCTAAAGTCAACTCTATTATATTGCGAGTGATTCATATAAATCAAGAAGTTTTTGGTTTCATGACACATCAGGTTTCTAAGTCACCACAGTTATTACATTTTCACCTAGACACTCACATGCGCAAATAAAATATACAAATTTACATTTATAACAGGTACAAGTGAGGTCTGGCCACGATGAAGTCCGTTACACTCTCGAACCTCATACAGACAAAGGAACCACCCAACATGCAGAAATACCTGTAAGTAGCATCAACTATATCTGTGAAAAAATGTCCTCTTATTATTTTATGCTCGGATATCAGCATCGAATAACATGTACTTTGGAGGTTCTAAGCATTCTATCGTGTTCCTTGAATTGCTGTTTAGAAGTTTGACTGTTAAAATAGTTGATGTTGCTGAAGAGTAGAAATATCTCTCAGACCATTCCCATAAGGCTGATGCATACTAACGGATCTTCAATAAACGCTTTTACCTCTTCAAAATCTTCATCTGATATTTATTTGTACACTAAGGGGTATAGGGGCTTAGTAGAAAACTCAACGTCTGTTTGAGTTTTTCTTAGGAATTGTTCTGGATTCAAAATATATTGGCTAGCATGGGAAAGCTATGATATTCCAGATACATCTGTCATGTAGGAAAATCAGAGCCATGATCATGCACTGGGGCGTCTGGAATTACAGATTAGATTGATTTCCTCTTCATATACGGCTGGCTCACTTATTTTGGTAAAACCCTATTTAGTCTTTTATTTATCATGTGGGATAATATATTTATAGGACTCTAAGAGCCGCCCCACATCCTAACATCCACTTAAATTTAAACATTAGAAGCTTTGCCTTCTAAGACTGACAATTTTGATAATTATTTGTTGAGATTAGTATTACTTGACATTATGAATATAATAAAATAATGGTCAAACTATTTTGAAGTTATAGAATTTAAGGAGTCAACTGTATGCCGTACTAGATAGAGCTTTAATATGGTCGGTTCACATAATATCACTTGTATTCACATGCTGGGAGGGCATTTTCCAAATTCGTGCCATCCTAGGAATGAATGATCGCTCATGGAGTGATGTTCTTGCAAATGGCACAATCAGTATGAAACTATTTTCTTTTAAGAACCTTGTGTTTTGTTTTCCAACTTCTGGTGCCCACGAAATTGGATCTGGTGGGTAAACATGAGAGAATTGACCTTATACGTAACACTAAATCAGTCAACATCTCTTCAGTGTTAAAGGCTCTAGTATACTAACCAGTCCAACCAGAATGGATAATATCAGCAGAACAGCTTTCTCGTAGGGATTTTTACTTAATCCACAATTTTAATAAATGAATGTGTGTGTCAGTCCATTCTGAAACTAAATTCGAATGATCTTGAAAGAGAGGGATTTCAATTTGTTTGTTTCATTACAAGGGGAAGCAGAGATCAGGAAGCCCAGACTCAACCTCCAGCATTTACATCCTCACCTGAGTAAATCTATTATGCAAATCGAATTTTTTCCTGAACAGGTAGAAGTGAAGTCGGTCGAGGACCCACCCGTTATCTCACTCCCGACCACCAAAAGTTATTAGAGTCGACCCACACGTCAACATTCTCGTAAGTAACTTAATTTGCAGCTGTGACTTTTAGGACTGATCTTTTGATTTTAAAACAACTTCTTACTATCTCAATTGTGCTCATCTCAAACCAGTCCAATCAAAACGCATGAAGACAAAAGATGAGCCTTCTCTCAAGGTACTTTTCTTTGTCCAGAGTTCTGATAATTATTTATATATATGTGTAACATTAGAATATATATGTGTTACATATATATGTGTAACATATATTACACATATATTTATATATATGTGTAATATATATATATATATATATATATATATATATATATATATATATATATATATATATATATATATATATATATAACTGAAAACTCCACACCCCAGAAGTGACTCGAATCCAGACCGCCAGGAGCACTATGCAACTGGCGTACATGGTACCTTAACCAACTTGATCAACCGTGACCGTGACCGTACAGAAGCTTGTAGCCGAGGCTATATCCTCAACATACCGACGGCACTTGGTGATAATCTTGGGCATAGTTATTTTATCGAATCACCTCCCTTTGTGGGGCCACGTGAGCAACACAAATGCAAACAAGCTTGAATGGTCCCCAAGCATAAATGCACCTGAAAATTCCACACCCAAGAAGTGACGTCGGGATGTTGAGGATATAGCCTCGGCTACCAACGTCTTTGCTTTGGCTTGATTTTTGTAATCTGTAGCTTTCAAATTTGTTTAACTTTTACCTTATATGTCTAGTAATATTTACCTTAACTGATTTAATTTATCTTTCAGATCTGATGATGGAAGCAGGGTTTACGAATCACCAAGAAGATTTTAATAAGTGTATATTTTAATGAGATGTTTTCCATTCTTTTTTGTTATCCTGTCATCGCACACACCACAATGGGGCTTTAACCCTTATATGCCGATATTCTCAGCACAGACGTCAACAGTAAGTGGAGTTAACTACAAGAGAGTTTCATGAATGAATTCGTATAAGAAATGATTCAAAACAAATTAAGCTTTCAATTACTCTGGTGCAGAATGAAAGATGTTGTCTCACAGTGATGCTTAAAACTACATATATTCCAAAATATAATAAGATTTTATGTTAATTGTACAACTTTTTTTTTTAATAAGCAATAAGGCACACCAGAAAATGAAGTTGATACAGTTTGTTAGGATCAATATGCGAACAGTTAGACACTATACATGGGTCAGTGTGTTAAGAATTAGATACTATACAGGCTAGCAAACATTTAATAAACCATGTACTCTATCCCAAAATTGTAATGTTTCATTTTAACTATTTTACACATGTTTAGTTCAGCCATCATTGAATGAACTGCATAAGTTGATACAAACATAGTTTCTGATTCTGAATTTGACAACTGTAATGACAAATCACTGATAAATGTAGTATCTATGTCTAAATTTTTATTATACAGTATATATGTATAAATATTACATATGTTATTATTATGACTTTCTTGTAGATAAAGGATTTATTGCAAATTTGTGTGAACTAACCCAACAATGTATAATCATTAATGAATAAAATATATGAATTTCAAATACAATTATTGAAAATTATATTCCCGGGAGAGCAAATTGTGTATTCAGTTCGAGAACCTAGGAAAAACTATCATTGGGGGAAGTGAGGATATGTATTTTATTGAATAAATTTATACTAAATATAATGATGTAGGTGATATCACCAGTGGCGCGTAGAAAACTTCCAAGCACAAACCTCTCCAATTTCGGTATGAACAGTACTTCATTACAGAAAAATATTATTTCCTCTACTCTGAAACTGCTGCTAATTATTATTTAGTAACAATAAAATATATATATATATATTTTAACATAGACAAAAGTTTCAACCTATTCTCAAACTTTAAATGGGTGATATGCCGAGCTTGCTTGAATGCTGAAGCTTCGGTGACTAATCTGAGAATTACTCAACAGGTTGGACGCTGTTGAGTCTCCATATTCTGCTCTTCGGCAGGCTCAACAATGCGCTTTGGCCTGCTTTGGGGAACGACGTCCGCCTCTGCCCCCCAAATGAGAAGACAGGAGGCAAACCGGGAGTCCCCCTAATATTTGACATAAATAATCAAAATCGACTGAGCTACGACAGGGTTAAAAGAGTTGAAACCTAAGTTCTACTGAACTTAATGGAGCCCGTAGCCTCTCCGTATATGACCTTTAAGAGATTATCTCGAATCGTTTGTTTACATTCAAGAATACCGAAATACCTCAAAGTTGGTGACGTACTTGCATCTCATGATCGACAATTGGGACATGAAATCCTTCATGAATAAGGTTAGAAGAAATATCCGTGGGTTGATATCACACTTAATCTGTCTCGTGAAGCCCACATCAAAAATATATCATCAATAGTTTATGCTAGGTTAGCCCACATAAGGACGGCCTTTACAAATTTGTGTAAGGAGCTTATTCATACCCTTGTATTCCGCATATGTATATATATATATATATATATATATATATATATATATATATATATATATATATATATATATATATATATATATATATATATATATATATATATATATATATATATACAAATTGATCAGCGCTACAAAAGACCAGAGAGCAAAAAGTTTCTTGTTCCAGCGCCTCAGTGTTGCGATTCAGAGGGGAAATGCCTGTTGCGTCTTGGGCACTAGTCCAACTTCAGAGGAATTCGAAGAAGTGTTTGACTTGCAACAATGATCGAACCCGTCTGTGACATTCATCAATGTTTCCCATTGTTGTGTTCTTCAAGAGATCCATAACCTTTAAGCACCTTTTTGCATTATTATTTTTGTATCAACCCATGTATATCTTGTAACCATCAAATGCATAATAAAGCACAAAAAATATTCAAGGAAGGGGGTGGTAGGAGAAAAGCACACAGAAACTGTATTGGAGGGGATCTAAACATTCCCTCTAATGCGTTATGCGTGGTTTCCTCCGAGGCTATGGGTCCCCCTTCTTCCAGCTAGAGGTGGTACTCCCTTCCCTATTAAAAAAAAAAAAAAATATATATATATATATATATATATATATATATATATATATATATATATATATATATTTTATATATATATATATATATATATATATATATATATATATATATATATATATATATATATATATATATAAAACAGACCAGTTCTGGAGTATGCAGCACTAGCATAGAGTCCATATCTGCTCATGTACAAGATGAAGCTTGAGAAAGTTCAGAACAATGACACCAGACTTCTCCCCGAGCAGAGAGGTATGAGCACCGAGGAAAGGCTACTGAAATTTAACCCCCCCACGTCACTGGAAGAAAAAAAAAGTTTGGTGAGTGGGGCTGACACTCAAAGTAAAATTTAAAGTACAGTACAACTTTGACCCCATTGCTTCAGAGACACTTGCTGCCTGGGGGTGCAGTTCAGTTGAGTGTGAGTGCAGTTCATTTTTTGAAGGATATGGGGTACTAAGCTCATCGAAACAACAAGAGACCCTAGAAGTGTCAGCTGCATTCATGGTTTTTGCCCGTTATTCAAGGAACTTGAGAAACTCGGCAGCCCTTTAAAACCTAACTTGAATCTCTTAAATGGCCAATATTGCAACTAAGCTTGTGCAATAAAGTTAAAACATAATAAGGGATAAAATGAGGTAAAATACGAGGAAAAGTGGAAGCGCTACAAGGCACCTCTTGATGCAGCATATTATCTTTTTCATGACCGAAGATCCCTACAAATGCAACTGCGTTTTTTCACTGCACGGTTTACTATTCTTGTTATTTTTTTTTTATCCCGAACGGCCTTTTCATCCTTCTTACAGGCCTGAGTAAATGCATTTTTATCCTTCCTTGGGTGGATAATCGGATATCACAGAAGAAAAGTGCTATGAAGACTTTTTCTTAAAAGCGTTAAGAGTGCTAATGCCAGTCGTGTACTGTGTTACTGCTCCTCCTGCTCCTCTAACACTAAGAACTCGAACGTATCTTCAAATTATTGCTAATAACAATTTCCGTAATAGAGAATTCGACGAAATCGGTAGTAAGATGCTAACTACTCATTTCACTGAGAATAATCTGCTCCCCAAAAAGGCATTGAGTTGTGTTAGCAATATATTGAATATACTTACTCAAGCCAATTAGAAGGATGAGGAAGCGATACGGGATATAATTGACCGGAGCTCTAAATGCATGCAGGAAAAAAAATAAATCCATTCGCCCAATCCCAATAATATCAACATTAATACCGTTTTCTTCATTATAAAAAAACATCATTTCCTCCTCCTCCTCTGACAAGCTGAAGTGCAATCATGAAGTATATAATACAAAAGCAATGCTGGAGACTGTTCACTCTGAAATATATGCAATATTTGACACACTACTATTATTCTAAGCAAGCGTCATACACTTCATTTACAAGAAGGAGGAATTAAGCATCACTCGGCACCACAACAGCATTCCAAATCACCAGGACATTGTAAATTGCACCACAATCATCACATACAGTGCGCCTGTAAACGATTTTGTCGCTTAATGAGTCAATATTTTTTGAAAGGGGATCCATTCATTGTTAGCTCTGATTTCTGTTTCACTATCAATGTTGTCATCTCTGGATTCACCGTCGCCGCCAGATGCCGTCAATGACATAACAAGAAGTGGCGGGGATGATGGGCGAGGCTGCGGAGTGTGAAGAATGTGAGGGTATTGACAGAATGGAAATTCAATAGGCCAAATGCTCTTCATTTCCCTCTCTGGTAGCCATCAAATCAATGTAAGAGATCTCTGAGTAAGACATAGCCTACATGCTCGTATATCAGCTTGAATGTGGCATAGATGGTCGACGGTGTCAGGTTAATCAACTGGTCTCATTAAATTTCTTGATCATTTATTTCTGTATATTTACATCAAATTTTATTTAAATTCCGAGTGCTGCATGGTGTATATTTGTCAAGTGATCGTTTAATTTACGAGATTTGGCGTGAGTAATGGTGAATTATGGTTCACGTGGGCATGGTGTGGCGTTAGGGTGTCAGATATAAATGACACAAATTTCTTTTCAATAGACCTCTTACCCCATATATGTTCCATGTGTTATCAATATATTAGCCGCTTACTGAATCCCACAGCATCATCATCAGAGATTATTGTCACTGAAAAGGCTTTGAAGTTAAAATATACTATATCCATATTCATATTAAAAAATTAAAATACAAATTGGTTTTCAATCCTATATACATATTCATTTAGAAATATAAATCATATATAGTTTGCGATTCTATACAGACTGAAGGAATCTAAAAATTAATGTTCATGAAACTATGTATGGTAACTAACATCACACAGTGTTTGTGCAAGACCAAATATTTGTAAAAGGTACAAAAGTTCATATGTACATATATGTATACTCATATACAGTTAAGTACATGTTCAATGCCTCCATTTATTAATCCTACATCTGAAACCTCATTACCAATGTACAATAACTATTTATTTTATAATATTCCCTTATAAATATTTGTTTACTCTTCTTTAGGTTGGAGATTAGTCGGAATTTCTGAGAATCTTTTGTAATCTTACCAAGTTTGGAAACCCGTAACAAACTATAGAACAATTAGGAAAAATTGCAATGAGCGTAATCTAATCTTATTGCTTCATTGTTTGATTAGTACATATTAGCTCCTTAAATTATCTCCTCATTATGCTAAAATTGTTATATAAATTGTGCCAATATTTGTCTTACTACTACAATGGTAAACTATTCTGTATTTTCCCAAAATGTTTCTCCTTAAAACTATGTGCCAAAAATGATAATTTGATTTAAATTGTTGTATACTTGTTTAATCCAACGTTTATTGTAATGATCTGTATTTGCTTTAACGAATTCAATATCTGAATCTCATAACTCTAATGGTATTTTTTTAAATGAGTAGTAAATTTATCTTCTATATAATTATCGTGATTACATGTACTATCATTATGAATTTCTCTCAGTTAAGTAATTCAATGTATATTGGTGTAAGTTAAACCGACTATAATGAGCAAACATTTCTGAATAATTATTTTGTATTTTAATTAAATTTTACTTCACGGACCAAAGGATTAACAGTAGTGGTGGTCCACCTGAATGTCTCTAAGACTCCAGGTCATTTACCACATGAAAGACTCACTGGAGCTATAAGTACTAGAAATTACTAATAGAATTCTAGAATTAATAACGCAATAGGTAGTAACAGTTGTGTGTACAGGTGTGGTCGTACCAGAGGCCAGTTGTGAGGCTGTAACTAAGTGCCGGCGGTGTAATCGATTCTGGGTGCCGGTAGTGTAGTGGTACTTGTGTTCCAGTGGTGTATAGTCTTACATGAGTGCCATAAATTCCAAATAAGGTTAACGTAAGATGGGAAAGGAGTGGAACCCATTT